TTTTCCAAATCTAACTTCATTCTTTTTCTTCAAGCTCAATATAGCGTTCCTCCATCTCTCTTTGGGCTCCCATAAATTTGTCAATGACAGATTCAAGTGTCTTTTCTAATCTAGAAGATGAATTTTTTTGTCGTGCTACAGCTACTTTCCTCTTATCTTTCAATGAATTTGTGCTTGCTTCAGAATCTCTTGAGCTAGAGTCATTATCATCCTATCAAGTGTTCAAAAATTAAGTTCTTAAATCAAGGTTGTTTCACAAAAGTACATTAAGTATTATCTAAGTCTAATCATGCATTGCAAGATATTAAACTCACTGTAGTGTGTACAGGCAGTATATGTTGACCAGCACTATGACCCTCACTATTATTACATGGTGATTCCTGGAAATCCTCCTGGTCCTCATCATCTTCACATTCGATACCAGCTTCAGAACTTACAACAATTTGAGCAATGCCATTTGTATCAACAGGGATTGCAATTGGACTACCTAATTGGCTATCAAAATCATCATTAGGATACAAATATGCTGATTCATAAAAATAAGGCTCACTATTCTTTGTGTGACATTGCTCACCAAAATCACTAAAGCTATTCAACTTCAATTTTTTAATGCTATTTGCCGCACATATCAATACGCCTACTTTGTGAGATCTGTTTTTCAAAACTGATTCTAACAATATACTTAATGCATCATTACATGTACTGTCATATGATGTGTTCTCAAAATTTATGCCTTTCATACTTGATGGCAATAAATCAACAACTATTTCGGGGCTGTAATATAATGCTTCTTTATTTTTTATAAAAATAATATTCCTTTGCTTCACTATTTGGTGCAGGTAATGAGTAATTGAGCGTAATCCATACAATATGTGGCTATAATTACGTTCGTAATAATCTTTATTTAGATGCCTTTTATTTTCCTTGATCAGTGCCACCTTTAACTTATCGATATCATTATCAGAAAATTTATATCTCAGAAATTAATCTTTTGTAGCACATAATATTGCGTCTCTATTCATGTAATACCGTTTTAAGGAGTTTTGTTTTTGAAGGCCCGAATTTTTATGATAGCATTCCTTTGATTTACTTTTTTGGGGGGTTCGGATTGTTTTGATAATGATTCCTAGATGCTTCTGTCTTTGGTTGTGGATTTTTATGATACTGTTCTCTAGAGGCTTCTTTATTTTGGTTGTGGATTCTTATGATACTGATCTATAGAGGCTTCTTTTTTTGGTTGTGGATTTTTTTGATAATGATTTCTAGAAGCTTCTTTCTTTTGGTCTGGATTACTCCTATAATTTGTTTTAGAATAGCAAGTTGATTTTAAAATTTTGCAGTCCTTGTTTTTACTATACCAATTTTTACATTTTTGCAAAATGTAACGTGTTGAATGCATAAAATTTTTTTGAATACCCAAGCTTATATTTTTTACTTATCTTATAGGCAACTCTGGCTTTGCTTTAGACCCTCTTACAATGCCTAATGTAGTAAGCTCTAGCATAGGACCTGTTTTTAGATATAAAAGTTTCCATTTCCTTTCTATTATCATATATCTTGGAGAACTTTTTTTGGAATTTAGCCCCTGTTAAGTCACTTTTCCTTTTCCTACTTCCTTTTTTTACAACTAACAGCACCACAACTACACTTAACATTATCACAACAAAAAAATACCATAATACCAAGTACATATATGCAGGAGGTACAAGTACACTACTGCTTATCATTTTAAAAATAACTGTATAGACTTATCTCAATAAATCCAATATCAGAAGTATAAATATAATGAAATACACTGAACTCTAGTGATCTGGCTTAGGTACAGGTGTCCAAAATTATCAAAACTGAGCAGCTGTAAATTTTCTTGCGCTCTGACGGCTCTGTAAGATTATATTTCGCTCTATGATAAAAAAAGCCTAATTAGTTAGAGTTATTTCAAAATAAATTACCTATTAGCTCTTAAAAGAACCGTTAATCACGTAGTCTGTGCACTGCTGAACAAACAAGTATGCAGAGAAAGAGAAGAATAGAGCGAATTCACCCAGTGCAGTCAGTCAGTCACTATAGCAACTCTGAGCTTGTGCATTAAGTTCCAAAATGGCAACTAATTTTAAGGGGCGGTGATATTACGCCCAAATAACTAGTTTATGATCTAATATGATTTAAGATAGGGAAAGCACCTTTGTAGTCCTTGACTCACGCTCCAAGGAATGATGTGAATGTCAACTTGTGCTGTTTTCTAGTTTAAAAGATTATCCGGTGCATAGATGATGAAAGAAGAAAAAAAGTCTGAAGAATTTTGCAGAAATTTGAATTTGGGCCTATTATACAGAAGTACTTCCGCTACATTACAGTCCACTTTAAAGGCACCAGGTGAATCGCTCAGTGAAGGAAAGCTCATCTAAGCCATTTATAAAGCTGTACAAGATAAGATAGAAGAGTTATAATCATTTGAAAATTATAAATTTGGTTGCCATCTTGAAAAATCAACCTCAACCCTACATTTAGGCTACCGCCTATATAATAATGAAACGTTCTCAACAAATGCTTCTAGTTCCCTTTGATCCTCTCTCATTTGAGGGTTTTGAGTTTTTGCAGGGTAAGTTGCCACTTCTTCACCCATGCTCATTAATCCAAATGGCAAAATATTTTCTTTGGACTCTGGGTCTCTCTGGTCCTTGCTTTTTGACAGAATGTAGATTCAGGAGAGATAAGAGCTTAAAAAGCTTTATATGTAGATGCCAAATAGCTGGATAAAAAGTGTAGAAGTTTCGCTTTGAAAAAGATTATTAAATTGAGTAAACTTTGGCAGCATAAATTTTGGAACACTGTATTATAGCTTCATAATAGGATTTGTCAAAGCAGGCATGCTGCAACAAGTCGACTCTTTTCAGCTGCTTCTTTAATGTACAATTCCAATGCTGTTCATTGCTTTATTAGAGGAACTACACATTGTTCTAGAGAAACCCAACGGGTTTGAACAGGCTTAAGAACTTCGTGTGGCTCAGTAATTAAAAAAAAATTGAAATTTTTCATATTCTGCAAGCCTCTTAGTACTGTGTGAAAAATTTGAATAAGTTTCACGTATTAGATCTTCAATTCATCAAGGGAGCATTTCACAAGCATATGATGTGCATAAATGGGCTTAGTGGCATTGAAATTATTTTTTATAGTGTATAGATGTGGAATCTTTTCCCTGAGCAAAGTAACTAGAGTGGTGTTGACCAAACATGACATTTGTTGCGTCCAAAGCCTAGCCAACAGTATTTTGAAGAGGAATAATTTTACTTCCAAAGTAAGTTGTCAAAGTGTTAACAAGTGTTGTAGCATCTGTTCCTGTTACTTCTAGTAATCTGAGAAATTGACTTCTTACACGGTTTTCTAAGTCACAAAAGTATCGGACTACAATAGCAAGCAGCTTTTTTGAGCTAATATCCGTTTTATAAATAATGATAGAAACCTTTGTCTTTGCCGAGCATTTAAAAGTTTTTGAAAATGGCCAGCTAGAACACACTTCACAATGGCTCTTGATTTGGTATGCTTGCTTTGCAATCGTTTTCCTATTTCTGAATCTGAAAAGATATTAGTGACTAAGTCAGAAAGATGATCCATGCCTTGATATGGCAAGTGGTGTTCCACCAAAAAGACTGCCATTTTAATTTTAACACTTTTTGTCTTAGGCTGTAACCAGTGGTTGTAATAGGTCTAGTTATAGTAACAGCACCTTTCTCCTTGTGCCCCTTGGAATCTTGATGCTTTCGGAGCTCAGAAAGACCAGCAACTAATTCCTTTTCAAAGAGTTTACAATAGCTTTACATGGATCTGCACTACTAGGCTGTAACCATCTCCTTTCATTTAGCTTGTGATCTTTCTCCAACTTTCTGTTACACTTCTGTTTATACACCTTTCTCCTTTTGGTAGAAGGAGACTGACTATATGTAATGAGATGTACAGTCACAGTCTGTGTCAGAAATATCTCTGTTACATTTGCATTAAACTCTGCAATTTTAATTTGCATGATTTGGTTTTGATAAATACATGTGCAAATTGTGCATGTGTAATTAATGTCACGAATAATGATTAAAATAATGGCTGAATAATAATTAATGACTGATGAACTTAATTATAGAGCTAAGTAAGTCAAAATTTTCCTAGATTCCAGTATTTTTAGATATTCACTCCCAAGTCCCTAAATTATCCCCAGATCTAGGGAAATTTCCCTAACTATAGAGGCACTGCAGTTAAATTAAGAACATCTTAAAATTCTAAGGAAAAGTAAGAAATACAAATATAATCATTAAACTATTTTACTGGAGACATTACTGTCCCTATCTACAATATCTTTAACATCATGATCACTAATACATTCACCCTAATTAATTTAATTATAATTATGAGCATACCACATTTAGGCCTGATTCCTCATTGCCATCCTTTTCACTAGTGTATTGGATGTTTTTGTCAAAAAGATCTGGCTCTGCTTAAATGCTAGTCTCCATACTAGGTTCAACTATCACAGTGCTAGGAGAGTCAATAATGCTAGCTCTTTGCTGATGAAGGAAAGTCCTCAAATGTCTTTAGTACTTCAAATTATACTGCAATTTTATATCACAGACCCTACAATAATTACCTATAGCAATATTTTTTAAGCTTATAAATATTTACACAGTAACACCAGGAGCCGATTAAGGTAAAAGGGAAGGGTAGGAGCGTGAAACACCCATGCATTCATTAAAATCACTGTAGCAGGCATAGCGTAATGACTACCATTTGTAGAACAAGGTAAAACAGACCCGTTTAGTAAAATGGCTACCAATGTGAAGGTTGCTCTGAAACAGTAGCCGTTTACATCTCAAGGCAGTGTACCAGTAACAGACTGTTTGAAACAACTTGAAAAAATCACAATGCTACCCCAAAAATTCAGCTCCTCATAGTACAGTCTTCTCCCAATCAAGTGCAGCAAGTCTTAGGAAATTTTCCAAGAGAATTACGAGTTAGTAGGCCCTTTATAGTGTGTAATGAGGTATCTTCATTAATTGAAAGGGCTTTCTGATTTGTTGTGGCCTTTAATTCTCCTTGAGACTTTCATTCATACAACCAATACTTGCTGCGCTAGTGCACTTGATTGGGAGAAAACTGTACTTGTTCTGATAATAGTAAACTCATTAAGCTATGCAGGCTACAGTGATTTCAATTAAATGCATAGGTGTTTTGCACTCCTACCCTTCCCTTTTTTATAATTGGCTCCTGGTAACACTTATATATACCTTTCTTGTTAGCACTTTTAGTAGGCATATTCACCTCGTTTTTTATGCACATGCGTCTCATTGAGACCTGCAAAATTAGTGTCAAATAAAGGGCTTCTTCAAGTTATACAATTGGGACAAGTTCTTAGCAAAA